GAGCTCAATGTAATAAACAGAGCAAGTAATAATTAATTAAAAAATGGGAGACTTCAAAAAGACATGGTAATAATTTATTTCACGAGTTCGATAACCTGGGGGTTTCGAAGCGTTTCAGGCAATCATTAGATAGTTGGTAACTACTATTTGTGAAAATGGGCATTTTATACTCACTCTGTAATTTCAAGATGTTACAAGACGCCAACATAACTAATCTAGAAGGGAAATGCCACACATGCCAACCTAATTCATCTAGAGAGGAAATGCCACACACGCCAACCTAATTCATCTAGAGGGGAAATGCCACACACGCCAACCTAACTCATCTAGAGAGGAAATGCCACACACGCCAACCTATTTCATCTAGAAGGAAAATGCCACACACGCCAACCTAATTCATCTAGAGGGGAAATGCCACACACGCCAACCTAAATCATCTAGAAGGGAAATGCCACACACGCCAATCTAACTCATCTAGAGGGGAAATGCCATACACGCCAACCCAACTCATCTATAGGGGAAATGCCACACACGCCAATCTAACTCATCTATAGAAGAAATGCCACACACGCCAACCTAATTCATCTAGAGGGAAAATGCCACACACGCCAACCTAACTCATCTAGAGGGGAAATGTCAATACGACCGAGAAAGAAATGCCGAAGTCACCATTTTTCGGTGAAAACAGATGGTTTTGGAAGAGTAAAGACGTTCCACCCAACCCACAGTTGTTGATGATGATCTCATTGAAATGCTGATTAAAAATAATTCGTACCACACGACACGGGTCATCGCAGAGATACTCCACATTTCTCATCTGGGCGTTGTAAGGCATTTGAAGACACTTGAATACATGAATATAAGATGTTTTACATTTTTTGATTATTAATATCATATTAGTTGTCAAGATTTATGGCGTAAAATACACAATTGTGGCACAAGGTCGAAAAGGGGACGAATAGGGTTGAGACTGGTAGTCACTTACTTTCCTATACCTAGCTAATCTGATTCAAAACTCATTCATTCGTTACAAGTTGCACATTCACCCCCAAAATTCATCTATCTCCAATCACTCCTCCATCTACCATAATACCGCCTAATCTCAGGGTGAAACCTAAAAAAAACACATCTCATGACATAAAAATTTAATTTCATGATTATAAAATACTATAGATAAAAATTTGTACATGATATAAAATGAAAGAGGAGGGGGATGAACAAAAAAATCAAAATAAAATATCAAAACAAATAAATTAAAGACAACTGATGTTAGGTGGACTCGTCCAGCTCTCAAAAAAGAGAGGCCTTGCTAAGGGAGATGGAAAGAAGAAAATATATACGGACATGGGGAATAATGGAGGCCAAAAAACAAACTGGTGACGTTGAATCTCAACTTGGATAATAACCAAAGATGTTGCCTGGATCAGGTCGAGAACAACATTCACATTAACTGTACACAAAGCTATCACATTGTTTTCTTTTTGCGGGTTTTCATCATCAAATTTATCTACTTCTTATTTACGTCACATGATTTATTCACCTGTTATTTACGTCATAAAATTTATCCAACTCTTATTTATGCCATAGAATTTATTCATCCCTTATTTACGTCATTTATTTCGAGTAGTGGCGCCTGGCTCAACGCAGTGCCCTCTTCATCTACCGGTACCCTTCTAGATGATGAGTGCACTCGAGTCGGAGTCGGGATCCGTCTTGGACTCAAATTATGTGTGAGCGTCACAGAGGCAGATGTGAAGCCGCCATCGATGAGTTTAGTTTGCATCCTCTCTCCTGTCGTCGTAGTGCCGGCCGCTTTCCACGGTATGCAGCCATTAACGACATCATCAAAAGAGGTTTGGATGCAGCTGGGTTGCCTTCCCAAATCGAACCCGTAGGCCTCGACCGTGGTGATGGAAAGCGGTAGGATAGCATTACCTTTTTCCCCTTTAAAATAGGGAAGTCGTTGATTTGGGATGCGACCTGTGCGGATACATTTTCGGTCGGTAATTTGATCTGGTCCGCGGCTGAGCCGGGATCCGTCGCGCGGGTCGCAGAGATGAAAAAAATAGTTAAATATTCTTCTCTTGCTGATAGATTTTTTTTTTACTCTTGTGGCAGTGGAGACTTCAGGGGTTATTGGCCCTCGTTCGATGGCGTTCTGAGGATTGACGCGATTGCGTCTCGATTAAGGGACGAGCCTTGCGAAACGGAGTGGCTCTTGCAGCGTGTCTCACTGGCGATGGTTCGAGGTAATGCTTTCTCCATCATTGAGGCTGGCAGAGGTTAAATAAAATTGTTTATTGTTACGTTGTTCTGGAATTGTCGTCAATGGTCAATTGTAATTGTTCTGTTTCAAAAAATTTTAATTTGTTAAAAAAAAAAATACGTCATAAACTTTATCCACCGCGTATTTACGCCATAAAATTAATCTCCGCCCCCTTATTTACGTCATAAGATTTATTCAACTGTTCAAATGGCTGCTATTCAAAAGGTCCTGAGATTTAACTATGAACAAAATTGATTTGTCTTCACCCCCACAGCATGATTCACAGTTTTATCGAATGTCCCCAAAAGATTTAACTCTCAATCGATGTTGTGTGAGAGAAGCTCGTTATCCATTGCACTGCGGGACAGGGTCATATTGATTTCATTACTCTTCTGTGTGCCATATTTTTTTTTAAGCGTTTCATCCCAAGCAAGGCGGGAAGCCACTAGGACGCAAGGGGGTTACAGAAAATTTGGAGCAAGATAGGAGATTTTCCCTGAAAGTATTTGTAAAACAGACAGAGAGAGGCGATGTCGCGTCTGTGAGAAAGTGACTGTAGACGAGATGCCAGATCAGGGCCAATTATATTGCATATCCGACTCTGGAGCCTATCAAGAACCCCGAGGCAAACAGAAGGGGCTCCAGACCATATATGGCAGCAATACTCCATGCAAGGGCGAATTGTTGATTTGTAGATCTGGAGGATCGATTCCGGGGAGAAAAATTTCCTGGCGCGGCACAAGGAGCCAACTTTCCTTGCGGTGGACGAAGCAATTGACTCAATATCCCTTCAAAACTTCGGTTATTATAGCTCTTCACAACTTCGTATCATTTGAAGCTCTTAGCAACTTTTGTCTTTTTGCTATTCTACCACTACCTCTTCTGCGATGCATTGACACAAGCTTACTCGCTGCTCTTTTGTTTCACTTGCATCTTATGCAAAATAAAAGTTTCCATTTTGTGGCCGACAAATATCAACTGTCTTTCTGATTCTAAGTTTGAATCCGATTTGTTTCTGTCTCGCTTAAAACTCCATTGATGCTTACTGTATCTATCCATGTTATTCGCAGCATCGTTCTGTAGAGCCACATCTCTATTTATTTGTGAGGCAATAGTTCAGCAGTCTATGTAGTATTAATATTAGAGTTTAGCACTTTTTTTTTGTTTCTAACGAAATATTCTTCTTTCCTTTATGTGCTGTGTCTCTTCAAGACGTAGATGTTCATGGCCCTCCTTATCTTCCTGTCTCTTGTAGCTCTTAATTAATTTTGTCTTTTTGCTATGCCTCTATTTACTCAAGCGTATCAAGTATGTTAGACGATGTTTTCCTCTGTCTTCTTTTACTTCAATCTGTCCTGTGACATTATATTTTCAAATCCCTCCTTCCTCATTACGTTCTCCGGAAATTTTAGCTGCCTCTTCCTGATGTTAAGTATACGTTTACTTTTTGTTTCCGTTTTCTCCAAAACTTCGTCGTTGCTCACATGTTCGGTCCATGGTATCCTCAGCATCTTTCTGTAGAATGACATTTCTGTTTGTTCAAGTCTCCTCTTCATGTTTGAGGAGATTGTCCAGCATTCACTGCCATACAGGAGGAAAGATATCACATAACATTTCAATATTTTTTCTTTGATTCTAACGAAATATTAATGTCCGTTAACGCTTTGTTCGGCTTTTGAAAGTCATCTTTTATTATTTCAATGGGCGCTTGGAAATTTGTGTCACATTATTCAACATCTCTTATAAGACTTCAATGATAGTTCATTTTCTGCAATTGATTCTTGCTGGTCTTCTTACAAATGCTTCTTAGACCTTTCTTCTCGCTTTCCTTTGATGGGCTTGTCTGTGTGTCCCTGCAATTTACTTTCTGTATCCGCTATGAACACAATATCAATTTTTTAAGCATTTCACCCCAAGCAAGACGGGATGCCACTAGCACGCAAAGGGTTGCAGAGAGTGGCAGCGAGAGTAAAAAGGCGTGATAAAGAATGAAGAGAAGAACAGGATCAAGGCATCTGAAGATGTCGATTGATATTACATTTGAATAGTTAATGATTATAGCTATCAGGGAAACAAGTAATAGGAAATGAATTCCACAGACGGTAAGTGCGAGACATCGAAGCTATCTATTATTGATCTTATTCGAAGACAAAATTAAGTATAAGTGTACTAGTTCTGATCAAGTCAGCTTTGATATTAGAATATATTCTGCAGGTTGTGAATTAAACACAACAATAGCTTGCAGGATTAAGATTAATGTTTGGACTACAAGAAGAATGTAGCGATGTATGATTATTGTACATTATTTGTATGTTATTTGGGTAACATCGGATTGAATTAAAGACCTCGCGATCACCGATCCAATATTCTGGCTCTGATCCATCCGTCGTGAAGAGTGATATTCTGATTGTTCATGAAGTGGAACAAAACCATTGTGCTGCTTGCTTGTGTTCTTTATCGTATGCATTTATTTATTCGTTACAAAAGCAGTCATAAAAGTCCCCAAGTCGAAGCATTGAGCTGACCAAATAAGATTGAACGGAGTTGACAGGTTGGCAATGCTAAAACACGGTTGTTGGCATTCATAGTACAATGTTCCTGTTGAATGAATTCATGTTACCTTAGTTTTCGGATAGAGAGTATTACAATTTTTTTCTTCTCTTTATTTTTCTTCGTTTTTTTTCTTATTTATCATCTTTTACTTCTACTTTTTTTTTAATAATTTCTACGTTTTATGCTACTTCTTTATACTTTTCTTTTTTTTCTATCATCGTTCTCCATTTTCTTCTTTTCACTTTACCTTTTAATTTTCTTTTTGTTTTCTTTGTCTCTTCATCTTCGCAACTTTTTTTAGCCTTTTTCATTTTTCTTCTTTTATATTCAGTTTTATTCTTTACGTCTTTTTCTTTGTTATATTTTTCCTTCCCCCCACCCAACTTCCCTTTCATTTATTTACTTTTCTCCACCGAATACAACTTCTTTTTGTTTATATTTCTTTCTTTTCATTTGTCTTTGTTATGTTCTTCTCTAACTTATTTTTCGATTTTTCTTCTTTTCCTTGTAATTCATCATCTTCTCATTTCTTTCACTTTTCCTTCTAATTTTCCTTCTTCTTCTTCTTAAATATTTTTTTCTTTTACTTTTTCTTCTGCCATGTTTTCTTGTTTCATATGCTCTTATGATCATTTTTGATGTTTTGCTTTAGAGAAAGTAATAAATGAAAAAAAAAAGTGCAACTCAAAACGGGGATATGACGGTGGGTGGGAAATGCTTAAAATCCTCGATGGTCTGTCATATTTCGAAAGCAGCAGAGACTGAGAAAACATGTTTTTAAGGAATAAGAAGCAGTTTCGTGTAACATGACCCACAAAAAGACACACACCATTTAGGAAAAATAAAAACAAAAACAGACACACACACACTTACATACACAAATATATACATATGGAAGACATGTAGATGATATCAAATGCAAATATTCGCCTCTGTTTGTCTGTGTTTCCCCCCTCTCTCTCTCTCTCTATATATATATATATATATATAGCTACCATATATATATATATATATATATATATATATATATATGTTTAACATTCTTTTTATAGATACAAGTATTTTAGTAAATGCTCTGTTTATAATAAACGGTATTGAATAACATTTACCGGCCTGAATGTCCAATGAATTTACATAGAAAATATTCGTCCTTTGACAGGATTCGAACCTGCATCCTATACGGAACCATATACACATATACAGACGAAAGCTTGTAAAAATAATAAGACCTTATGCAACTGAAACTTATAAAACAAGGATCTTTTCATCCATAAACAGGTTCGGGGATTTTTTATATTATTTGAATTGTTCGCGAAGATTGATTTCTCGCCAATTAAATCATTAACCTTTGTATTTGGTTTTGTATGAATAATTCATGAATTTGTAAATTAATTGCACCTTTATTGAAATTAAAATAACTGATCCAAGTGCAACTTTCGGATAATAAGTGCGACATTATAGTAATTATTGAACAATATAGTTCATGCCACTTTGACGGAAAATCTACCAGTAAAAAAGAATTCGCTTATATTTGTACAAAAACGCACAAGCTTAAAATTTAAATTCAAACTCAGCGTTGCGACTGCACGTTCCAAAACAATAACACATTTCTCATAGCATTTTACGGATTACATCTCTATTTTCGTTGTCCTCTTATTACTGAGAGTAAAAACAAGAACAAAATCTATTCCATACCTGAGGATGTCTGTATAACAGACGAAAGCTTGTAAAAATAATAAGACCTTATGCAACTGAAATTTATAAAACAAGGATCTTTTCATTCATAAACAGGTTCGGGGATTTTGGATATTATTTGAATTGTTCGCGAAGATGGATTTCTCGCCAATTAAATCATTAACCTTTGTATTTGTTTTTTATGAATAATTCATAATATATATATTATATATATATATATATATATATATATATATATATATATATATATATATATATATATAACAGAGATTGTTTTGACCTGGTAAAAAAAAACTTGAGCAGAGTATTTTTACAATCACAAGACTAGCTATAACTTCCGCGAAACTCAGAACAGAAACTAGATAAGTGATTATTTCATATTATTTTTTACGAAAATACAAGGCAAAATGGAAAAACACTTTTATTTACGTTCACGTGTTTCTTCTATTAGGATTTTGTTGGATAAATCGCGTTACACGAATAAGAGTGTTTTTCGATTTTGTACTACATTTTCATAAAATCGTTCTTGATATATATATATATATATATATATATATATAAATATATACATTCTTTTTATATTAAACTGTGGTATACTTTCCCTGGTGGGATGATCTTGGGCGACAGCTTCGTTACATTCATATGTTGTAACTTGTCATCTTCTGATCATTGATCGCTAGTCGTTTTAGTTCAGTGATAAAGAAATTCAACACAGGGAATTTTAACCTTACTATTTTATTAACGTCGACATAGACATTTCTAATTATCCAGTGGGGTCGCTCTGTCACCGCACTAGGGAGCAGATCAAGGCACGACAAAGAACACATCTATGTCACATTTCAGAAAAGGTATGTGACACATTTCAGTCAGGTGAAAATTGCGTGGAAACATACAAAAGACTTTGAAGTCAACAATCAGATGTGACGGGCTGTTTTATGCTGGACGCAATCATTAGGCAGCGAATGCTGGATCTTTCCGCGGCTATTTATAAATATGGGTCAATGGTGTATTGTGGGTAATCTTTTCTGGAGCTTATTTTGCAGGAGCGGCTTGTTTGTTTATTTATTTGGGTTAATTTATTTTACTTTGTTTTTCATTTTCCTTTTGTATTATTTGTCCTTTTCGTTTTTTGAAGTTTTATTAACGTATTAAAAAAGATTTGTGGGGGGGGTTGCTTAGGTCGCTTATTTAATAGTTTGTTTTGGTATGGGAAGATAATGCTATTTATTCGCCAATTGTTTAGATTACTTGCCGTAGTCTATTCTGTTATTTTGCCGGCTGGACAGTTTTTAATTTATTTATTTGGATTGATTATTTTTACTTGTTTTTGCTTATTTATGCTTATTTTTATTAGTTCTAACGGTTATTTTAGCGGGGGCAATTTGTAAATTTATTCATTTATATGAAATATTTCGATTCGCATTCAATCTTTCGTCTCCGCTACCACATGGATTTACTAAAAACAAAATAATTTCCATGCCTGGAGATGTCTGTATGTACAGTTGAAAGTACTTGCAGATTTAAAAAAAAAACCTTATACAACTTTTAGTTAATAAAAAACAAGGATCATAACATTCATCGAGTAGTTCGTAGGTTAATGCAACTTTAAAATTTTGTTTGCGAAGAGTTTTCGCCATTTTATATAATTAACTTTACTAATCTACTTTTTGTATGAATGATTCATCTAAAATATATATATATATATATATATATATATATATATATATATATATATATATATTCTCGAAATTTATGTACACACACTCATGTATATATATATGTGTGTGTGTGTGTTGTGTGTGTATAAATTTTGATTAAATAATACTGTCAAGGTACTATGTTTGTTTATTCAGTCTTTCTTGTGACCGTATAATTGATTTCTTTTATGGTAATGAAGTATGTAGTAATTGCTCGAATGTTCTGCATGTCCGAGCGCTTTCGGCTATTCTTTTAGACATTATCAAGGATGCTTTTATTTTTACTTTTCACTGGATGTATGGATCTCTATGTATGTATCTAGAGTTATAGGAATGTTTTCATTTTCAAAACACGATCAGCATATTTTGGCCATGTTCATTGTTGATGTAATCGAATGTAGACCATTTCTTTTTTTATTATGAATGCTTACCTTATTTTTAACCTTTGTTTTTTATATGTGGATGAGTATGTCGTGGATGGTGTTTGGTAGGTCTCCGTATGGTTAAATGAGTCCTAAGTTAGGTTTTGGTCAGAGATATGTAACGTGGGTCTTCTTTCTAGGCCTATAATGCTATGTTTGATATTATTATTCATGAATTTGGTTTGATCATTTAAGAGAAAGGTGAATGTAATGTTGGTTCTCTGTAATTTGGATCTTGCAGGTGTGTTATTGTTGTTGACTAGGAGGTTAAAGTTTTTTATAGTATATAATTGATCAAATTTTCTTGTTTTTGTCAACTGAAGTTATACATTTCTTTATAATGTTTCAACAAAGCGCTCAGACATACCGTATATTCGAACAATGTCTACATAATTTATATCTAGAAAATAAAAATAATTATACGATCACAAGAAAAGTTAAATAAAGAAACTTTACCGCAATAACTTGTCAGTTGTTTTCAACAAACTTATATAAAATAGGGATTGCTGCCCAAATACATAATTATATATATATATATATATATATATATATAGGCAGCAAATTCTCTTTTAGGCATGTCTGATTGAATAAATTACATGCATTATGACTGCCGATTTTTAACAAAATTCGTTCTCGTTCATACTCACGAATAACCTTCCGTATATTGATATTAATGGATGAGAGAAATGTGCTATAACTGTTTAAATTTCTTTTATTTTAATTTCTCAAGTAATTTCGATCTTCTACCAAGGGCTTCTTCAGGGTTGAAGGTTTTACAAAACTATATGTTGTTCAGTGGTACAAGTATTTATACAAAATACATTATCGTAATTTTTCATTATGCTTTTAAATACAAACGGTTGACAATTTTTGTTAAAAATTATCAGACATAATATCTGTAATATATCTACCTATCTATCTATCTATCTATCTATCTATCTATCTATCTATATATATATATATATATACATATAAATATATATATATATCAAGTGTATCCAGTAGACTTTAGCTATGATGAAGAGTATTTGATATTCTGTGAATGTTATACTATTATATAAGTTGTTTTCTTTTCCTATCTCCATTTTTCTATCTTTCTTGTAGGTTGTCCATTCACGTTTATACGCTATAACACATAATTATATGTTATATATTTAAATAATCTTAGATTTCCGAAATTAAACCGCAAATAGCCATGCGTAGTTAATTCCCGTGTAGATTATCTCTCCTGTTCGATGTCTGCTATTGCCACTAATTAATAGCTGTAGCACTTCCGGTAACCAGCGTTTCAGGTGAAAGAATCTTCTCAAAAATGAAATTAGGGAAAACATTTCTGAGAAATTCTATAATCATCGATCGATTGGGTAACATTACACTGCTCTCAATTGAAAACACGAAAACTGATATAATTGACTTAGAATAGCCGCCATGATGATATCAGAATTAGACGGGGTCAAATTTGTAGAGGTTATTAGTAAACTATCTTCTTCTCTCTAATAATACCATTAACTTTGGGGGAAATTGTTTGGTTTACTAGTATTTATTTTTATTTAAATGAGTATTATGGATTGGCACATTCTGATTGATTTAAACCCAACAATTCCTGGCCTTGGGCTAAACTAAGTTTAGCAGAATAAATAGCAATAACATATGTTGTTTATTCTAAGCATTTATATGAATGATTTTTTTCAAAAAAATTATAGTATGACTAATTATTTTAACATAGTTTATATTACACAGCAGAGATAATACTTGTGGAATAAATGCACATAATTTTTGTCTGTCACCTTATAGATATAAATATGAGTGGGGTCTGTGTGTACGTGCATGCAGTATATATATATATATATATATATATATATATATATATATATATATATATATATATATATATATATATATATATACACACACACACACACACACACACACACACACACACACACACACACACACACATATATATATATATATATATATATATATATATATATATATATATATATATAACAATTAAGACAAAGTAATTAATCAACAGTCCAGAAACTTATTATTAAAATGGTTCTGGTTATTTCTGGTTAATAACAATAAAATGCTATGATAAGCAGTAGTAAATTAATTAATCCCGAGTTTTTGGTGAGGGCCTCAGAGTCAACACGAGGCCTACATCAATTGCATTGAGTAGGTAGTTCTGTCCTGTGTCATGAGGGTGCCTGCTGGAAGACCATATGTCTGGCGACAGGTCTCTACACCATGCCACACAAGCAGACTAATGTGTTTGCGGACACGAGGCATTTAACCTAAAAACATATTTTCCAAACTACACAGCTTGGTCCAGTTTATTGTTGGCGTGTATGCAGTTAGCTAGTTTGAGATTAAAAAGGGACAATAAATTTCATAGCCAGCAATTGTATATTTTCAATATGTTGCAAAGAATTAAGGAACTACCACCTGAAATTCAGAAGATTGCATTCGAAAATATTCAACATAATGATTTTGGTCTCCTACCAGAAAATATGTTGTATGCAATGCTGAAATCAGATGAACTGGAAGTGAGGGTAGAAGCTATAAAAAGAATTTTAGCCATTAGGTAAGTAATTCACATAATATTGATTAAAATAATTCCATCGATTTATAGTTTCATTTTAAAGTACTATCCTAATTTCATTATAAAAATTAAGACAAGTAAGGTTAATTTTTTTTATTTAAATTTTTGATTTTTTCAGGAGTGGAGAGCTAACAAGAAAGAGGTTAAAAGTATCAAAGATAAATTTTGATGCAATACATTGGTCTCACTTGATCGACCTGACCCAAAATGCAGTTTGTGAGCGTGAATTTTCAGAGGAATTTTCTGATTATGAACGTTTGGAGTTATCAATGAGTGGGACAAAAGTTGTATGATTTGCCTTCACACTCATAAAGTGTTGAAAGGGCAGTAAAATTAACAACTGCAGCTCCCAATCAGTCTATGGAATTGAATCAAAACATAGGCACATCATTACAAAAGTTTTATGCCATGAAATGAGGCCTTCCTTTGCTTCAAAGGGCTCTTATGTAGAGCAGTTTAATATGATGCAATAATAAAAATTGATATTATTCTCACAACATTCATGTCTTTTGCCATGTCTTTTATAACTTGATGCCTTACAATTATTATATAAAATAGAAACTTAAAAGACCCACTATTAATAATCAGTAGATTTTTAGGGGAGTGTTCAAATTACAATGGTAGCTTATATTAAATCATCATCCCTTAATTTGTTACTAGCAGAGTTCATACTTGTTTGATTTTGTTTCATTGAAAACAGAAAAAATAACTGTTTAACAATATCTTGCAATGTGATTACTGACGTATCTCAATTAATGAAGTGAAACGCAGCTTATCTGAGCTGTTGGGGTGGCGTGTGGGTTTATAATTTCAGTTTAATTGCTACTTTTTGATATATTGTATTTATTTCATTTGAATAATGTAAATTGACAAACTTTTCTAGATTTAAATTATAAATTTTTTAAGCAATTTCATATGTAAATGAATGAAAAACAAAGAATTTCTAGTGTTTCATTTTAGACGATTTTAAACTAAATGCTCATCATACCAATACCCAATTTTACCCGGGTGATATTTTTGATATTCAAAAAGAAGTTAATGGGCTCGTGGTTAGAACGTTCGAAACTCACCATGGTCTATTTGTCAGGAAGGAGACTTCCTGATATTATCGGAATGGAGGTCGATCCAAGCGTGTTGTACCTTTGGAATCAGTGAGTGAAATTGGGTAGACTGAATTCTTGGCCGTTAATAGCTGTACTTGAGCATGCTGGCCTATTTCAAATTCTTGATCACGCTAGAGAACACGCTCTCTCTCAAGGTCTGCGCTATTCTCACACGCTTTCTCCCAAGGTCTGCGCTATTCTCACACGCTCTCTCCCAAGGTCTGCGCTACTCTCACACTCTCTCCCAAGGTCTGCGCTACTCTCACGCTCTCCCAGGTCTGCGCTACTCTCTCCCAAGGTCTGCGCTACTCTCACACGCTCTCTCCCAAGGTCTGCGCTACTCTCACACGCTCTCTCCCAAGGTCTGCGCTACTCTCACACGCTCTCTCCCAAGGTCTGCGCTACTCTCACACGCTCTCTCCCAAGGTCTGCGCTACTCTCACACGCTCTCTCCCACGCTCTCTCCCACGGTCCCAAAGGTCTGCGTTACTCTCACACGCTCTCTCCCAAGGTCTGCGCTATTCTCACACGCTCTCTCCCAAGGTCTGCGCTACTCTCACACGCTCTCTCCCAAGGTCCGCGCTCTCTCCCCAAGGTCCGCGCTACTCTCACGCTCTCTCCCAAGGTCCGCGCTCTCTCTCCACGCTCTCTCTCCCAAGGTCTGCGCTACTCTCCACGCTCTCTCCCAATGTCTGCGCTACTCTCACACGCTCTCTCCCAAGGTCTGCGCTACTCTCACACGCCCTGTAATTTAACATGATCAGTCCTTAAAGAAAAAATAATTTCTACGTCACCCTATTGGTTCATGTTTAATTCTTTCTCTCCTTTCATTTTTTCCCGTCCCTCTCTCACTCTCTCCTCTCCTCTCCACCTCACTTAACCCTCTCTCTCTTTTGCTCCGCTTCAATTTTTTTTAATGGCATTTTTTATTTTTCCTTTTTTTACTTTTCCTCTTCCTTTTCCTTCGTTTGGACAAATTGACTCCATTTATTAAAAAAAAAAAAAACTTCGATCTGAAAAGATGAATATTTGTATTTTCATGAAATAAAATATAACTGAATGGATTTTTAAGGATCGTCTGTACTCTTATATATATATATATATATATATATATATATATATATATATATATATATATATATAAGCAAATATATGGATATAGATCCGACAGTATGAAGAAAAATATATTGAAAACAAAAATCCGAATATGCAAAGACTGTTTAATGTTATTTCAATGTCGACGTCAGACAGAACTTCTTCAGGACACAGATTAAAACATAATTTTTTAGACGATATTCAAATCAACATGAAAATACGATGGACGTAGAGTAAGACTAATCAAAACAGAATCGAATTTTTTAGCGTTCCGTTTTGAATATCGTAGTCTTTAATGTTAATTATGTTTTAATAACTATTGGAAGAAGGTCTACTAGACCGAAACGTCTGACGTCGACATTGAAATAACATTAAAACAGCAGAATTGCATATTCGGATTTTTGTTTTTCCATATATTTTTTTCTTATATATATATATATATATATATATATATATATATATAAGGTTAATAGTCAAAGATGAATCAGACCAGGAAACAGCATTATTTAAAAGCAGTCAATATACATGTGAAAAAATCAAATAAAAACTAAAAATAACATGTAGAGGTTTTAACATTAAAAATCAGGAGGTCAGTTGAATCCGCTACCTTGGTTTCAAAATTACGGTCTCCTCAGGCGATTTTTATCAAATGATCTCTTAACGCTTTATTTTGTTAAAAAACTAATGAACGCTGCCTTATTACTTTCAAAAATAAATAAACAAACACACGACGTTGGGTGTAGAAGAAGAAGAAGAAGAAGAAGAAGAAGAAGAAGAAGAAGAAGAAGAAGAAGAAGAAGAAGAAGATGAGTGCACACATTGAACTATTAAACTGGGATTTGGCTTTACTCAGAGAGTATAGTTTCCACAGGGAGCGCTCTAACCAATAAAAACAGAATTACTAGGACTGTTAGTCCCACTTATTTCGTTATACCTCGTATAGTTGAAAAAGACCACAGGTGTGTCCCAAAATTCCAATATGAGAATCTTTCTCTTCGTGCTTCAATTTAGCTCAAAGGCTAATAAATAATAAATATCATCATTTTTATTGCTAATAATGTTATTATTTTCTTGGATTTTATTCTTCAAATTTTATCAACTAGCCTATTAAATCTACACACACGCGCGTGCGCACACACACACACTCACACACGGACACACGCATATATATATATATATATATATATATGTGTGTGTGTGTGTGTGTTTAGCAACAAATTTGTGACTTTAGGACAAGCTTGGGAATCAGTTAACGGATCATTAGAAGATAAGATTTAAAATATTTTATTTGATGGAGAATAAGTTCTCAGTGAAATTTGCAAAAATACTGTTAAAGTGAGCATATCTGGGAACATGCCAGTCGATTCCTTTTTTTTTTATTTAAGGCAATTAACAACGATTGTTAGTCTATGCAAGCCAAATGAAAACGTCAGCAAATGCTTAGAGCTTTAGCTAGAAAACTAATGTTAGCAACACATAACGATGCTATGGCGAAATCTACAGTTTATTTCAGGGAAAGAGTATGTAAAAAACAAGTTATAGAAAAATTATTTTTTCATTTTACTATTTTTAATTTGATTCTAGAAAAAAATAAATTAAATTAGTTCAAGTGTATATGTTGCTCAATATATCACTTTGTGCTTTTCCTGAGAATGAAGGCGTTAGTTAGATCCAGTGACAGGAGACAAAGAGTGTGAGTTCAATACCGGTTAAGGCAGTGGAGAACTTGGAGAGGGGAATTAACAGGAGATAACTGATAACTGACATCCATTAACCATGGCAAACTGTTCTAGTTCACCGTGCTCAAATATGTAATGATACGATTGGGGAATTTCTACGGATGTTATTGTCGTATAGATCGCCATGAAATTTTTCAACCATTAACTTAAGAATTAAGATGCTTCAGAAAATTAAAATAGGAAAATCGTGAAATTTTCTGTGATATTTCTAGTGACGTAATATTTTTTAAAAGCATACTACTACTTATCTAGTCGAATAAATATCACGTGAATAGAATATTAGATTTATGTCTAGATCCACAGTATTTGCATTAGAGAAAGCTTTGAAGTGTTTCTCATGTATTCAAAGCAGATATACAGATTCGCCACTGTTGCATGTTTAATAAGGTAAATTCCATCAGTCTTAGGTAATCGACAACTGCAGCTTATAGAAATAATGCAGTAGGTGCAATCGTGTTATGGAAATGATTCGTTATGGTGATAAAAGGATAGTCTGACTTCAAGTACAAAGAACTTTATGATTATAGCAAAAGTTAAGAAGAGCTTTCGTAAAAAAACCGGTACAAATGTATTGGGAGGGTTCTTGAAACAGGGAGAGGTTGAAAATTTTTCAAATAAAATTAATTCAAGTTTTCCAAAGAGATTAATTCAACTCCATGTGAATTTTTCATACATATTTATACAAAGAACAGAACTGACAATAGAAGAGAAAGAGAAATGTATATTTGCGTGTGCATAAATAGCAAAAAAAGAAAGAAAAACATTTATGAGATTAACAGTAGCGTCTGTGTGTTTATGTGTGTGAGCGCGCGCGTGTAAGTGTGTGTCCAACGTGGCTGGTTTGAAAGTAAGTAGTCATGTGCCTACGGTATCCAATAGGCTAGACAATGAAAAAGAGAGAGAGAGCGAGAGGGTTTATGTATCTCCATTTTATACTACTGAATAGAACGCTACCTCACGGCGGGAATCTGCGTTCATTGGAATGCAAGGTAGGGGTAATCTCACGCCTATAACTACCGAAATTAGTAGTGAATCAGGGGAAATTCATTAAAAGAAATTCCGAAGCTCGGAAAATTAGTTCCATTGAGACCAATGGAAAGAAGCATTAGTCTTCTTACTCGAAACGAATACAAATATATTTACAGTTATGTACTTATATATTTATATTATATATTATACTTAGTTATTTTTTCACGTTTACTTCCAGTAACCATTCAATACAATCAAACCTTCTTTCATGTTTTTCAATGGCTCTGTACTATAAAACCAGATTTTCTACCTTTAAATCTGCTGGTGGACCACTGTCAAATTTCTTGGTATTCTCGTCGCCTCGTCTGAATGGGGCATATATATAAATATATATAATATATGTATGCCCTATTCATTAATATATGGGGCTGTATATATATATATATATATATATATATATATATATATATATATATATATATATATAAGCAAATATATGGATATAGATCCGACAGTCTTTTTATTTTTCATTCAAAATACTCAAAATTGTAGGAATACGTTTTCACAGCGTCGACCACGTGACGACAACGTGACCATGTTTCAAACGGAGCGCTGATATTATAAAACTTTCAGTTATTTTTTGGATAAGCCTTGTTCTAATGTACATCGTCTTTGTCATGTGGTATTGATAATGTTATATTTATGAATATGTCCTGAAGATGGTTTATTAGACCGAAACGTCAGACGTTGACATATTAACATTAAAACAACATAATCGTATATAAGGATTTTTGTTTTGTTTTTTCCGTATATATTTTTCTTCATATATATATATATATATATATATATATATATAAAGCTATATATTTTGTGACAAAAAATTGACAATGTAAAAAGATTTATAGCGAAAATCCAAAGCGAAAGAAAAAATAGTGGTTAGCTCTGAAAGTGTTTTAACATGAATAAAAACGGTACACAATTAAGTCTTTTATTTCACTGTAATACAGAGTGACCCGAAGGCCAAACTGTAGGAGCTCGTGTTAACCTTCTGAAAGAGAAAACTTTATAATGTAGGGGTGACAAGACTTTCGGATCACCCTTTATTTTGGAGAATGTAGCGGTACCTCATTCGTTCGAGGTGACAAGAATACCAAGAGACTTGACAGTGGCCACCAGCAGATTTAAAAGTAGAAAAATCTTGTTTTATAGTATAGAGCCAGCAAAACAAAAATACATGGAAGAAGGCTTGATTGCATTGAATGGTTACTGGAATTAAACGTGAAAAAATAACTAATTAAGAAAATTAATGAGCTTCTAGCAAATAGACGTGCTGAAGAGTTTTATAGAATCGAACTCGAATATTAACTTGGAAATAATATTAGTTTAGTATGATGACAGAGCCCGTCCAATACACTCGCCAAGCTGAACGAAAATGATGACGAATGATAAATTTCCTCATCGAGAAAAGTAAATTATATCAGTATAAACATTTCAGATTAAGCTGTTTACATAATGTTTACATTTACCTCACCAATGTATGCTTTTATAGGATAAATAATTTAGGATTATTTTATTTTGCGAAACTCAATTTGTCGACCTACGAGCCATGTTCCTATGTTGTTTTATTTGTACGCATAAATCATATATGGTAGTCATTTCAGAGGAAGAATAATTTTCGGGAAATTAGGTTATTAGAACTTGATCAAGTGAAGAATAGGCCATACACTTTTTAAAGAAGAACTTTAGTGTGCTCGAATTAATGGTCTAATCTTGCCAATATGTAACTCGTGTCGGCCGTCGGGTAGACTGATTAACATTTTTGGCGGTTCTTCCGAGAATTAAGGAAGAACAGGAAGAAAGAAGACATAGGTAAGCAGGCGAAACGAGGAAGAAAAATCCAAGGTCTTTGTGGCAGATCAACGTCTCTATCAGTTGAATGAAGGACAG